CTCTAGAATAGTTTTTGGCATGATGGAAGAAAAGGATATAGGTTTAATGTTTTTTTTTTTTAAAAAAAAAAATTGTTTTAACATATAACTCCTGTTTGATGTAGATTAAAATCATATTAAATTTTCAAGTCAACGTTTATAATTAATTTTATTCACACAATTCATGGGATTCATATCTGCTAGAAAATACGGGTTGTGAGTTGCCCATATGAGGTGACCCGAAACACAAGATATTAAAAGGGTTGGAGGAAGCGGTTTGAACTTGAAATTCAAACCTATAACTCTCTATAACCACCCTTAACTCCTACACAACCTCCGATTTTTTGTCTAGCATTTAAGAGAGAGAATAATGAAAAGAAGAATTCTGAAATTCGTATGAAAAATATCACCAAAATTAGAAAGGCTCTAAAATCACTATTTTGGCATGAAAACTCAAAAAATAAGGCAAGGAAAACTATTTTGAGTTTGCAAAACGATTGTGAATATAACAAAAATTAGAAAGTTGAGCATGTTCTTTAATTAATTGGAGGGTTAGAAATTCTCGAATCGGTGTTACAAAATATGTCTGGGATAGGGCCTTTCCAATTTTGGTAATATTTTCCATATGAATTTCACTACTTTTTTTTTTTTTTTATCATTCTCTCTTTCAAAATGTTAGACAAAAAAGATTAGAGTTTATATGGAAGTTAAGGGTGGTTATGGGGAGTTGTAGGTTTGAATTTCAAGTTTAAATCACTCCCTCCAACATTTTTAATGTCTTGTGGGTTTGGTCACTTCACATGGCGACCAATAACTATATTCGTGGCATTCTTTGAAATAAATTTTGGGTCAAGGAGCTTACTTGAAATGATAAATTCCTAGATCTTTTGAAAAGTTGAATTGCCTTACTTTACAAATCTCCAAATCTACAATTTTTTTGCAATTCAATAGTCCCAATCCCAATCATAATAGAAAGGATTATTATCCACAATCTAAGTGTCTTATTTTGGACTGTCATGTGTATATCAAGGATACATCTCATCCTTAAGAGACTCATGTTCCTAAACATATTATTAAGAACATGTATTGTCGATTGTGAGTCTAGGATAACCTATATTTGGTTATCTACACGTCCAAGGCTTATATATGTTAAAAGTACCAACATTGCGAGAACTCCATTAAATGATAGGTTGCAGTTAATCGAATATGTGAATTAGATTGTACTATCTCAAGCCTTATCATATTCAGTAATATTGCATTCCTTCTATCCAATAAACCATATAATTATTGGTGATTAAAGAACAGTTAATCAAATAAGAACTTTTCTTTCATTACCTAGATCACTAAACTCTCGTGATAGAGATTCACGATGTGTGCTACAATATTACATGTACAGATCCTAGTTTAGGTATTTTCCAATACCTAATTTGAGTTCTCCTTATGTTCATTCCTCTTAATTTTCTCAAATCAAGAACTTGATCTAGATACTGAACTGGTTTAGTTTATAGCAAAATCCATTTCGATTACTTATTGTAATCTCGTCTTGATATTCATGAAGACGACTGGATCATGTACATAATTTGATCGCTTTGTTTCATCTCAGCACACCTTAAAGTGTCTAAGGGATTATTCGTATGAGTGAACCAATCTCTACCTGTTCGACATATTTTATATTTGCATGCAAATCATTAGCTCATAATCTCAACATTAGATTACATATAAACTTAAATGTGTTCATTTATGGGCATGCAAAACTTAATCAAGAGTATTTCTTATTCTACACATTTTTAGAGATTCTATATTACCAACAAGTATATCTCTAAATATCTTCAAAGTAAAATGATTGCATATCATCATTTATGTATATCATATGAAGATCAAAACGCTGTCAAGTACGAATAAAGATAAATTCTAATGCTTGGGCATTTGAATTGCTAAGTTTTGTTATAGATGATCATTTTCTTGAATGTAGAAGAAGCTCCAAAAAAAAAAAATGAGTCCAACTTAGGTCAAACTGATTCCTGGAAATAGTTATCACAAGATGGATTTCGAATTCAATGAATATGGGCAAGTAGTTGGCTATAAATCAAATAAATTTGCTAGCATTATTGGAGCCATGGAACGAGAACATGTGCCTAATATAATTAAAGATTGGCATTTGATTGATGGGAAGAAAAAATGGATCTTTGAAATTTTGTACAGGTATATTTCTTAACTACCATTTACGATTATTACACTCGGACTTTAATTTATGTTTGTATACAAGTACAACAAAGGTTCAATGTGAGTAATTGTCATAAAAAATAACAATTCAATGTATGGGAAAGTATTGGAGGACGTTTAGGTCAAGGCTGAGAAAACAAATTAGAACGCAAGTCAATTCATCTGTGAATAGAGCACGCAATGTGGCCCTTCTTAGATCAAAGAATGTTAAATATGAAGAAGCATGGGAAAATTTTGTCAAGGATATGCTTTCGACAGACTTTCGCGCAAGTATAAATCATACAAGGTTTCCACTTTTTATAATTATTGTACATTGATACTTTTTGGTTTCCATAATGGGGAGAAAGTTCCAAGTTTAGCAACATGAGAATATCTCAAAAGCTTGTCCACACCATGGGTCGAAAGGGTTATCCATGCATTGCTCATGAAATGGTAAAATTACAGATATATACTACTTATTTGAATTGTCCCACTCTAGTGTATGTAATTACCAGATTTTTATTGTAGAGAAAAAAAAATCTATATATAAAAGGATTGAGAACTTGAGTCTAGACTCGTGGACATCTTAGAAAAGATGGAAAATCGATAAATGAAGCAGTTACCAACACTTTGGTATGTGTATTATATTCAACGTTCAGCTAAGAATAATTTGATTTATTAAATGTACCACTTGGTAATATTAAATGTTGAGTTCTATGACTACAAGAAAAGGATTGAAGAGTGCACCCAATCAATTTTTGATATACTAGCAGAAGACTCAATTCATGATGATGTTGTTACTCGAGTTTTAGGTCCTGAGCATCATGGAAGAGTTAGAGGAGTTGGACTTGGAGTTGCGCCATCAAAACTGGATGAACAAATTCAAAGTAATGTGAGAGTTAGAGAACTTCGAAGTCAACTACATGCTCAATCAAAAATGGTAGGAGCGTTAGAAGAAAAGGTTGAAACACTTCTCAAACTATCTCAACATGGTATAATCTTTTACCATTATATATACGGTGGTAACAGTGCTTAATATAGTCAATTACATGTAGATTTACTTTTCATAAATTTTGTATCATCTTACAGAACATGAAAGATATGAGTTCACGTGCTTTTACTCCTCAGTTTTTTGTATCCTATATTATTAAATTTTTATTCAATATAAATCTCAAATTTTATATAAATCTAATTTAAAAAAGTATTTTTTTCCTGTGAATTTTTAGTCACACCAAGGAAGTGGTGTTCAAAGAGGCACTACACATCTGGAAATGCAAGGTGTCAACTATTGCATTGGTACATATTTGAGGAGGGAGAAATTGTTATGGAAAGGGAAGATTGTAACAATAGACCCAAGTGCAAAGGTGCCTCACTTGCCACTTGGACGAGAATGTTGAAAGGTTTGGGTTAAGGAAGTGTATATGGGTAATTTAATCTTATAACCTTCACATGAATTTCAAACTCTTAGTGAAGCCATGGGAAGTACTATTGCTTGGCCAAAGAGTAATATTAGACTTATTTGATAAATGTATGTTTCATGGATGAATTACATATATGTACGAATGTATTTCCATTTTCAAAATCAATTGTAGTTCTATTTACATATATGAGTTATGAATCAAACTTTGCTATCATTTCATCGATTTCAATGTTTAGCTCTATTAATCTGGTTGATATACTTAGAGAAATAGGACATGATTATATCTCATTTTCCTTGGTGGTAAAACGAAGCAAAGCTCCTACATTTATACAACGCAGGGCGAATTCTGTTAGTAGGTTACTAGCGCAAGAAGAAATATTACATCTGAGATACATTTTGTATTTTGTATGGTTGAAAATATGTAATGAAATTTTAATCACAATTTCATGCACTAGGCAATTCGATGAAATGGAGATGCATCAAGAAGATGACATTAATTTCTATTTTGTATTTTGTATGGGTTAAAAATATTTAATGAAATTTTAATTTCAGTTTATGCACTATTTTTAATTCGTTGCTAAATTTACATATTTTAGTATAGAAATTTAAAAAAAAAAATCTTTAAATATATTGTTATAAAAACAGGTGTAATATTAAAAAGTAGCCAAAAAATTGTAAATTAATTAGAGAAATGACAACGTTTTTAAAACGTCGCTAAAATATTTTTAGCAACATTTAGATATGGTATCATCAACGTTTTCATAAACGTTGCAAATAATCTATTGCAATGTTTTTATAAACATTGCTACAGAGTTTTCGCAACACTTTAAAAACGTCTCAAATACCACATTTTACAACGTTTTAAAAACCTAATGTGGTATTTGCAAAGTTTTTAAAGCGTTGCCATATCCAGCCACTTTATGACAACATTAAGGTTTGCAACACACGTCCAAATGTTGCAAAAAGTCACTGACAACGATTTTTGAATGCTGCAAAACACTTTTTTGTCTCGGTTAGGAGTAATGTAGAGTATGAGCCTTAGGTGGCTTCTTACTGTTTTCCTAACTGGCTGCCACGTGACCAATAATATGAGTCTTGTAAGATGAGGCATAGCAAAATGATTTATGGCATGTACTATAAGGATGACTCTACAAGCTTGGTTGGAGACGGTGAATTTTGGAAGGTGCAAGTACACAACAATGCCCTTCTTTTTCTTTTCTTTTCTTTTCTTTTCCTTTTTTTTTTTTTATAATTTTTAATTGGTTTATAATTGTAAAATGGTAGTGGTGCATTTATTAAAATTATGTTCTAATTAAGGTGCATTTTTATCATAAAATTTGTGGAACAATATATTTGCCCTTTTTAAAATTACCTAAGTGAAAAATGATATTGTATCAAATTTCCTCTGAAAATTGCTATCTTAAATAATTATGCAACGAATACACTTTATTTCCATTAATAGTAGATTATTACACACAATCATTTCTACTTCCAAAATGAATTATTCAACTATCTTGAATCGCTTCCTATCAATCACTCGCCTTGTTCAGAAAGAAGCATATCAACTCCCTGGCTCATTTTAGGTCTTGAGTTTCTGTCTTCCTCTGCACATTGCAATGCCACTTTAACCATAATTTCTGCCCTATCTTTCTCAAATTCTCCATTCATGGAAGGATCCACAATTTCCTCAATCCATGAAACTCTTCCCTCAGAATCTTGTACTTTTCCCCTCACCCAATTTACCAAACCATCCTCGTTGTCATTTGCTGGGTTTCTTCCTTTTATTAACTCTAGTAACACAATCCCATAGCTGTATACATCAACTTTTGACGTGATAGGTAGATTATATACCCACTCAGGAGCCATGTACCCTCTGGTTCCTCTGATTCTTGAAAATGTTGACCTCTCATTTCTGTTTCTGTTATTTAATTTGGATAGGCCAAAATCTGCCACCTTTGGCTGGAAATTGGAGTCCAAAAGTATGTTCTGAGGCTTAACATCGCAGTGCAAAACCCACTCCAAACACTCTTCATGCAAGTAGGCAAGACCTTTTGCAGTACCTACTGCGATTTCAAACCTTTTCTGCCAATTAAGTTTATTCGCATACAAAAAGTTTGATAAAGATCCGAGTTCAAGGTACTCGTAAACCAAAAGCCGATGCTTACCTTCAGCGCAATAACCCCATGTCTCCATCAAATTCATGTGATTAAGTCTGCCGATTATGCTTATTTCAGCGAGGAATTCAGCTTCTCCTTGTCGCGCTTCACTTAGGCATTTAATGGCTGCTATTCGGTTATCCGACAATGTGCCTTTGTAAACAACGCCACTGCTTCCTCGTCCGATTTCTTCATTGAATCCACGGGTTGCCTTCTTGAGCTCGGCATAGGTGAATCTCTTGAATCCTACTCCAACTTGAAGATAGCCTTGCGACGTGGCATTAGTGGGCAGCCGGGTTGCGAAGAAGCAAATGAGCAAAATGTTGATTTCAATGGCTCCAACTGCACCAGCACACCAGAGCAAGTACTTAATCCACTTATGTTCTCTTTTGTAAGCAACGTCAATTGGAGTAACACGGTCTCTACAGTTGAGTTCAAATTCTCTAACATGGTTCTTGTAAGTAGTTAGACTAGATTTTGGTACTTTTATGTATGCCGGATCGTTAAAAGAAGACGACTGGTATCCGTTAAACAATAATGTTTTCGGGAAGCAATTGTAAGTGCCACTCTGTGCATAGTATTTATACTGAAATCCTTTGCAATCACAGTATCTCAGGCAAATATTTTTGCAGGACTCTATGGTGACATTATAGTATACTCCAATGTCATAGCCATAAAATTCAGCATCATGAAGTTGGAAGAAACCAATCGAATTATTGTCCGAACAAGACAGCTCGAAATTTTTTTCACATCCATAGGACCAATCTGTGTCATTTTTCATCTTGTGTCCCGGTAAACAAGCGCATCTTCTCCCTGACAGATTATGAACATAAGTACACAGACTGTTTTCTCCACAAACTCCATGGACTCTGCATGGTGTCAAGACTTGGGGTCCATCTTAATAAGGTCAACCTTATTAAGAGGAGTGTCTCAAACCTTTATATATTGGTCATTATTTCGGTATTTTACCGATGTGGGATTATATTCCCTTAATATGCCCCCGCAAGATGGTGGCTCGTTTGAGCAGACCAATCTTGAAATCCGTGTGCTCATTTTTTAGAGACTTAATCGGATCGAATCGCTCGTTGGAGCTTAATGGGCTCTGATACCATGTTAAGACTTGGGGTCCATCTTAATAAGGTCAACCTTATTAAGATCTGCCATTAACAGGTTGATCTCTGTTGGCTATCCAAACTAAGGTGTGCTTTTCATTGGAAATTGGCATACTATACCATATAGCAAAAACATAAGCATTGACTCCAATGGGGTAAAATCCAGTTGTGAAAATGCCATTTGGTGATGAAACAAGGACATCTTGTGGTGGCGAGAGAGATGAACCTTGATTCAGAATATTGGTTTTAGAGGATGTTGAAAATGGTACAGAGAAACTAAGAAAAAGAATGAAAATTTTCACTTCCATAATGAATTCTTGATTCATAAAGAAGATGATGAATTCTTGATTGATGACTTGAGAGTTGGGATTAGCTTTATAAGCCAAGTTTGAGGGTTTTCCGTGAAGACTATATTAATGACTTTGTCCAATTGCCAGAAGAGGTTGTCAATAGTTTGACTTTTTAAGGAACTAGAAAAAATTTGATTCATAGAACAGAAGATGATGAATTCTCGATTGATGACTTGAGAGATGGGATTAGCTTTATAAGCCCCGTTTGAGGGTTTTCAGTGAAGAATATATTAATGAATTAGTCCAATTGCCAGAAGTGGTTGTCAATAGTTTGATTTTTTAAGGAACTAGAAAAAATTGAACCTACACTGCACGACGTTCTGAAATATTTTATAAGTGTTAAAAAATTAATATCTGATATCATTTTGTTAGAAGGATTTGATGAGTTTTAGACGAAATTAAGAAAATAAGATTTAGGATAGAAATTTAAGAGAAGAAAATTCTACTCTCAAAACTTAGCCACTATGATTCAGATTTTTTATGATAACGAAATACTACAAATGAGCAATTTTTTTAAGACTATATTTCGTACATAAGAATTGATTGTTAATACATGAATTTAAACATTCATTAAAATTCCTGTATACGTGAATAGAGCTAAATACATTTATAATGACTCTGTGAGTCTAAATTAATGTGAATATTCACGAAATTAATATATTATTTTGTAGTATTTATTGTAGATTGAAAAATAAAAAGTAAGGAATTATTGAAATAATTAAATTGTAATAGTGTTAAAATCGTCCATAAAATGATTTTTACTTGATATGATATTAAATATATTATAGATAATTGAGATTGATTTTTATTTTTTTTTAAAATAAAAAGTAATATCAATTCTACTTTAACAGTTTAACTCATAATTTCTATTTAGAAAAGTCATATGATTGTTTATCTTATTAATAAATGTATTTTCTCAAGTTCATTTTGCAAACTTTTATTACAATTCTAACTAGTTCACTTATTTAATCAATTCAAAATAAATAATATTTATTTGATTAGAATATCTTTGTCCATTAACTAAATTAAATTCAATTAAATATAATCAGGGTTAGTGTAGTACTCTAATCAATTCAAAATAAAAGTCAAACTTAAAATAAATAAATAAATAAAAATCAAAAGATAAAAACAAAAAGGGGAGGCGGCTATCAAACCAACCAATTTCCAATGCATATATGTGTGTGTGTGTGTGTGTGTGTGAACCAAATCCTTAACATACATATTACATCCACAAATAAATAAATAAAAACGGTGTAGAGGAAAGAGAGAAAAAGAGAAAGGAAAAAGAGGGGGAAAAAAAAAAAGAGGAAGAAAAAGAGGGAAAAAAGGGGGAAAATTTGCCAATGTGTTAGAAATTAAGTGTTCTATCCTATTAGGCTTGAATTTCTCAATTTTGAAAGGTAAGTAAAAAATTACTTATTGTTAAGTTATGTTTGATTTTATAGTTGTTAAGTTGTTAGATTAAATTCAATTTTATTGAAAGGGTTAAGTGTACTAAACTATGAAATTGAATAAAATGAAAGAAAAATTAATTTTAGTAATTAAAGAGACTTTAGAAATCGCCTAAATGTGAAATAATTACATTTGGGTATAACCTATTTAATTATTGAAATTACTTAAATTAGTTAATTGTTGATTTAAAAATTATATTATATTTCAGACGGCGATACGGATATCGAGACAGCGTACCAATCGAATTGATTTTGGCGTACATAGTTCTGTGAATGGAAAAATATAAATATTTATAAAATATTTATAAATTAAGTACATTGTCAAAGTATGTGCAATTATGTATTCGAATTATATGGTTATTATGAAAATCTTTTTTATTATAATATATGTGGAATATCAAAGATTATTTATGGCATATTTGTGATTTGGCATGTAAGACATGTGATATTGAGATTTGTTTGGTATGTGAGATATGCAATATTGAGATCGGCCAGAAAAGTACCCATGATTATATACTTCTTCTAGTTCACAGAGGAGCCTTAATCGTATTCTAGAATTGATTATGAGAGGTCTTTGAGACCGACTTTCATTCACGGAGGGGGCCAAAGGCTCGTGGCGAAAGTTCTTAACCCGAGAGGCAGATTACATATTTCAGTCAGAGTGTACATTTTTGGTGGATTTTTCAGCATGTTTGATGTGATGAGATTATAGCGTGGTTATGAGCTGATGTTATATCATGATTTTAAGATGATATTTTTATGACCTTATGTGAATATTTTACTTTTTGGCTATAATTACATGATGATAGCTTGTGAATTATCAAATGGTATGATTTTGATTTTCAATAAAAATGTATAACTGAAAAAGTATATTTATTTTAAACTTCTCCACTTATTGAGTTATCAACTCATATATTTTTCCACGTTTTTTTTATCAGGCAGCAGTTGAGAATCTGGGTATCTTTTGGAGTTGAGCCTTGATTTTGGAGTTAGAGCCACAAAACAAAGTTTGTTAGTATGACTCACTTCATAGAACATGTAGTCAGTGTTTTGGGACGATGTTCATGTCTAGATGTGATTTTGCATGACTTGTAGTTAGTTATGGAGCTCACTATATACTATGTATCCATATGTATAGTTAATTGTATTTCTTGATAAAAGTGGAGATTTCGGCTTATCTTTATTGTACTATGCTATAGTTTGGGATTTGTGTGAAATTGATCAAAGGTTGGTTAGTCCTGTTTACAGTGGAGATAATGCAGAAATTTTCTTAGAAAAATAATGTATAAAAAGTGATATATTGTATTTGTAGTTGTTTTGATGGTGGGTCCAACTTTTAGTTGGTATTTATCATCGGCGCATGCCACGTCCGGATATAGTGGTGTTACACCGGGCGGGGTGTGTCAGTTAGGCCAAGTTGGCAGCTTTCTTATATATATTTTTTTTTTTGGTTTATTTTTATTTTTATTTATTTTATTTTTTTTGAGGCTGGGGATGAGTTTTTGAATAGTAATTTTTTAGAAAATGCATGGTTAAAAATTAAATAAAAAATAAATTTATTTATAGAATATTTTATTGTGAGAATGTGTGGTTAATAATGAGTATGAAATTTGATTTACTTTTATGCACTCACATTCTTACATGTATATTTATGGCAAGAGTAAAATAATCATCCACGATGATGCCCCTATACAAGAAAACAAAATTAGATGGTTTGATTCGAGTTTTGAAGGGCGGGAGGATAGAGAAAGTCCACCCGTGTGTCAGAGTGAGCATATATATATATATATATATATAAATGTTTATGTGGTGATAATAGAATATATGTTCAAATACATCAATTTGTAACTTTAGTTATTTGTAACTTTAGTCGTACGATTATTACCAATACTATGAGTCATTCATTGTCATGTTATAATCAACTCTATAAGTCCGTTTCTCTTTTTCTTCTTCTCTATCAATGTATCAAATAGTTTCATGAGAAGGTGTATTAAGGTAAGATATTAATTTTACTCAAACCACTGGTTCTAATGTTGAAAGAAATATAACTTGTTCTCCTCAAGTAGTAAAATATCCCGTACTTATTTTACAAACTTTTATTAAAGTCCAAACTAGTTTATTGACCAGGAATATGTAAAAACTTATGTAATTAGATTATGTTGAACGTTATATATTCTAATGGGGAATATTGTTTTTTTTTTTTCAATGAATGATTGTAAAATAATGAATTTTTTTTTATTTACGCATAATATTATTTTATTGAAAATTGTGTGATTAAAAATAGGAGCAAGAAAAAATTAATTTAATTTGATGAGATATCCAGCCAAACGGGGACATACTCTGGCAGCCCCTGTCGCGTCTTCTTCTAAACAGCAGGGACTAAAACAAATAGTACAATGATTAAATTCAAATTTTATTTACACTCGTGACTAATATCAATTTTACTTTGAAAGATTAACTCGTAATTTCTAATTAGAAAAGGCATATGATCGTTTGTCTTCTTAATAAATGTATTTTCTCGAGTTATTTTACAAACTTTTTACAATTTTAACTAGTTCTCTAATTCAATCAGTTGAGGATAAATAATAATTTATTTAACTAGAATATCTTTATCCACTAATCAAAATAAGTTCAATTAAATATAATCTAATTTAATGTTTTTAACAGTTTCTAGTTATATTAATCCTTGTTGGGTCTTCTCCGCTAGAACAAAAAGGGAAAGACGTATAGTATTTAGCCTTCTTCAGTTTCTATGGTCCAAATTCAGGATAGAAAAGAAGTTTGGTGGATGATTTAATTTTCTAAACTTGCATTCAACTATTTTCTAGCTTGTAGATCCATTAGAAAATATAAATCATATGGATGCACTCACATTCTTACATGTTAATCATGGCAAGAGTAAATAATCATCCAACGAGCAAACAACCCCATAGAGGAAAACAAAATTAGATGGTTTGATTTGATTTCAGGATGGTGGGATGTCAGAGGGAGTGCACCCGAGGGCCGGAGGGGCGGAGTGGGTATATATATATATATATATATGAATGTTTACATGCCAATAGATTAGATGTTCATATACACCAATATGTAACTTTAGTTGTAAGTCATTCATTGTCATGTTATAATAAATACTATAAATTTGTTTCCCATTTCTTTTTCTTCTTTATCAATGTATCACATAGTTTCATGCGAAAGTGTATTAAGGTAGGATATTAATTTACTCGAACCATTAGTTATAGTCTAAACTAAAAACTTTTGTAATTAGATTATGTTGAACAATAGTATACTCTAATTCAGCCACTATTTGGCTTTGATTTTAATTTGAGTCAAAGTCGAATAATCAATATTAATCATATCTTTTTGGATCACACAACTTTTTAACAACACATTTCAAAAATTTCAACAAAAATCTACTAAAAATTTAATTTTAATTATTACAAAACACCCACTTTTAATCTTGTTATGCAGTTCTAAGCATATTGATCCTCTAACCGTGACCGTCCTTGTCACTTCTTCCGAACAGCAAGGACAAAACCAGAACAAATCATATGTTGTCGAAATTATTAA